CTATATTCACATCGATTAAGTAATTCCCAAATATATGCCTTAAAGCTACCAGCAAACCTATAAAACCTGCAAAAAAAACTACAAATTTGGCATTTTTTTTCACGAGCACACATTCTAGGTTATATTTATATTAGACATTACTTGAATACAGCTGATTATTTCATTTCAAGGAGTGACACATGTGTGGGATCTGTCAACTCTTGGTACCAGTCACAAAACGTATATACTCTGAAGGATTAATTCCATGCTATTCAATCACAACACGGTGACTTGTGTGGCTGTCAGCGGCCATTTTGTGAGGGTGCGACAGGGTTGCCAGATTGTGCATTAATATACCGTTTCACCCTCCTGGTCCCAGTGGAGTAAGTTCTGCCAACTGCTGAAATATACTCTACTATGCTTTATAAGACTGTTCGTGACATTTTTCACAATATCAGTGCACAACACTTGAAAAAATGCTTCAAAAAGAAATTGTACAAAATCTTCAAATTTGTGAAGTTAGCGAGTTTCGCTTCATACGTTCTTACCAGACATGCCCAAATCATCAAATGCTGCCGTGATATTCATCCCGACCACTGCATCCCCACGGCTAGGCGACCTGTATGTTAAATTTGTATTGATAGGAGCGGGTTATGCTATAAATCATATGTCACAGTGTTTGTGCACTGATTGCAACGGTTAGATGATACCAAAATTATTTTCATAAATAGGAGATCTTTCCCATTCTGGATCGAACAATCTACCAAAGATGCTTATAATCATGATAACTAGTAAATTTTTACGAAAAAAATGCAAAACCAGCAAATGTAAAAGATTCATTTCGCACCCTCTACCACGGGACGTGATCGTCGTTAGACTTGGCAACCCTCGAGTGACAGATAGATATCCCCGCCAGTCAACGACCGCCAGTCAAAAACACAAACAATAAACATTACTAGTTTTGATGATTTTTGGACTTAAAAGACATTATTTGTGGAACACTTTTCATAATTTTTTTGTCTATGTCCATAGTAATTGTATTATACATCAGGGAGATGTAGGGATTGACACGTCTTACACATTTATCTGTGTTTTAGGATGGAGGATGGAGAGGACAATGTTTTTATTGCTTTGAAGAAATTCATTAACCCATAGATTAATAAATGTACTATTATGACGTAAAGGAAGATGAGGAATTGGATGGAATGTATTTTATATTCTATTTTCTTGCAAAATACGGACAAATCCACACTGTTCAACAGGTATGTAATGATAACTTTCAGTATATATCAGTGCCATGCATTAACAAACATCCAAATCTGCTGCCAAATTTAACAGCTAGAAAATCGACCTATTATTTGCCGCATTCCCATTCGCTGAGGGGGATAACGGATTGTTAAATGTAAACCTATAACATATATCAAAATACATGAAAGTTGTCCTGTTTTTTCTGTACAAAAGCATCATGTTGGAATCAAAAAGTGGTCTTGTTTATAATACAGTCGAATTTTCACGATTTTATTCAATATTTCAATAGAAATCACTAATATTCATAGACCTTTGACAGCTTCTGTCAAATTGCATTTCGATAAGGTATTTTCCCATTGGTACATAATATTAATGTTTTTTGAAATCGGCCATAACGATGTTTTTTTTCGAGGTATAGAACTTTAAGTTGGCATTACTTTTGAAGACGTCGACCGATTTGACAGCTGCAAGTGATTTATTCTCAGTTTGGTTTGGTAATTCATCATGGATAGACTCATGCCTGAACAACGCTTGCAAATTGTGCAGTTTTATTTCGACAATATATATGGTTCTGTGCGGAATACGTACCGCACACTACTTCCATTTTATCGTCGACAAAATCGTCCATCAGAGCACTTAATTCGATTAACCATGGAACGTTTTCGCACCACGTTTACTCTAATTGATAACTCGCATCGCCAGAGACGCCGTACGGTGCGTACAGAAGAAGCTATTCTAGAAGCGTAGCAGTGAGGAAGAACCGAATGAGTCCATCCGCCATCGAGCACAGGAATTGGGTCTGTGTCCATCCACTTTATGGAAGATTTTGCGGAGGGATCTTGGTTTGCGTGCTTACAAAATCCAACTCGTGCAAGAATTGAAGCCAAACGATTATCAAGCAAGACGTAGATTCGTTGAATGGGCCCAAAATGAGATTGCCGTTGTTCCCGAATTTCATAAGCGAATTTTGTTTAGCCATGAAACGCACTTCTGGCTGAATGGTCAAGAAACAAAACTGCCGCATTTGGAGTGAAGCTAATCCTCAAGTCTATGTCGAAACACCGTTACATCCAGAAAAACTGACTGTTTGGTGCGCTTTATGGGCTGGTGGAATCATTGGTCCGTACTTATTCAAAAACGATGATGGCCAGAACGTTACAGTCAATGGTGATTGGTATACAGCCACGATTACTAACTTTTTATTCTTGCATTGAACAATCATGATGTCCAGGAGCTGTGGTTCCAACAAGACGGTGCAACATGTCACACAGCTCGTGCTACAATCGATTTACCGAAAGACACGTTTGGTGACCGCCTAATTTTACGTTTTGGACGTGTGGGTCCAAGATCTTGTGATTTAACACCGCTAGACTATTTTCTGTGGGGCTATGTAAAGTCTTCGTCTATGCGGATAAGCCACAAACGCTTGACCATTTGGAAGACAACATTCGCCATGTTATTGCCGATATACGGCCACAAATGTTGGAAAAGGTCATCGAAAATTGGGCGTCCAGATTGGACTACATCCGAGCCAGCCGTGGCAGTCATATGCCAGAAATCATATTTAAAATTTAATGCCACAAGATTACCTTTCGAATAAAAAAAAATAATGTCAATCGAATAATCCACCGTTGTTTTATTGCAATTTAAAGTTCTATACCTCTAAAAAAAACACCCTTTATATATTAGAAATTTGCATCTCTTTGCAATTGTAGTAAACGACGCCGAGGATACGTCAGTTTTTGTCAGTGGAACTACATGCAATTACCTTATTGTAAAAATCGATGAAGTCAAGAATGAAATGGAAAGCAAATCATTTGATTTGAAACCTTGGCAAATCTGATATTGTACATTTCTGTACAAGCGCTTCTGCAAATGAAATACTTAAATAAATTACTAATTTGTTGAGTTTTAACTGGTAATTTGTTGAATAATATAAGAGATTTTTTGAAATAGGTGGTATTTTGTTTCTGAACTATTTTCAAATCATGATTTCTTCTGTTGTACTCACGGTAAACACTATTATTTGGAAATGAACTATTATAATTCTTAACACAGGTTACACATCTCATAATGTAAGAGCAATACATATTAAGAATTTCCCTGACTTGAAATTTTTTTTGCAGGAGTCATTCCAATCATTAATTTGATGATTCTTTTTTGGACCACAAGTATTCTCTCAATTTCTCCCATAGTACAATCTACATGTACAAAAATCTGCAATCGAAGTTGCACATACCTCCTTCATTTTCTGGCTTCCCAAAATACTGAACTGCAACGTCGCAATAGCGCCTAAGGTGGTTGAGCAAGTAGTGGCGAAATGATATGGACTATAGAAGAGTAGCGTCACTCCGTCGTTGAAACAGTTTTTGGCGAGGTGTCTGAAATTACATTGTGGTATACCAAATCCTACATGCAGTTAATCTGTGATGTCTGTGATATAGCAGCTAGTCAGGAGGAAGGTAAACATCCAGGAATGAAGGTCACCTGAAGGTAGTTGACCGCAAAATACCGGATTGTTTTACGCGTTGCGAAACTAGCAGGAAGTGGGGTGCTAATATTTCGATGCTCCGCTAATGATGTAAAGGCGACTATTGTTATTCTAACATATTTGGAATTTGAGACATCGTCGCTTAAGTTGTAATACCACTAAACGCAAACAATAACTTATGTATTTGCTTAAAAAAGCCACCGTGAATGCCGGAATGTCATCAGTAAGCATTATTAGCTTATGATGTTTTATTTGCGACTACACAAACATGGAGTATTATAAGATCATTCGATAGCGACTCCAAAGGCCCACCGTTCTTTTATGCTCTCCTAAAAAGTTGTTAGTTTAAAGTTACATCGTGCTGGAACTCTTTATTAAACAACTAAATTTTTGTGATTCATGACTGGGTAGTACCAAAAAGAAGAAAATACGATACAAATTTGTTATCTAGTTTTGCATTCTACGTCAATGATTATTGCCAAAGAATTCCAAAGTAGATCGTTCAAGTATATTGCGACCAAATAGATGTGATGTTCCATTTCTTTATTTAATTTTATGCTCTTCAGTCTACATTATTCATGTTCCCTGAAAAATAAATACGAACATACAAAAAACAACTTACACTCTTTTCAAACTTATGACCAAACAATAATCCATTCCAACCTCTGTTAGAATCAGTATAGTAGTTACTCATATTGCACAATGTCAAGGAAACCAGAACGACAGGTGGGTTATCGCCAATGGGTGGAACGCTAAAGCACTCTATTTTACAAGCCTATTTTCCAGAAAATGCTATTTATCATATATCGTCTAGACAGAAAAAATAATAATATGTATTACCCTGTATAAGCTCAATTACTCTATGACATGCCAAACTAGGCATTACTCTGTTGAAATCAATAAAATTAAAAGTAGTGAACCCATTCAGGTGAACCATCCGCCTGTAACCTTTCTTCCCTTTATTTGGATATCTTGGTCGCCTCCAGGCAGTAAATCAAAAACAAAAAAAACCTATTGTATACCGGCATGTGTGTGGGTGTATCTATCCAGTTGAAGGGTGGATGTAAAGCTGGACATACATGCTAATAATATACTCAGCAGACTGGTTAACCGCTTAACGTGTTTACCCGAGATATCTGGGGTAAGCTCGTCTCTCATATTTTCGCCAACCCTAGTTAACACGGGCAAAAATAACTTATTAGGTATCTTGTGTGCCTACCCGAGATAATACGATTTAATCGTTTATAGGCTTTTTTACTGACGGAAAAGAACTGGTTTACCTTGTGGTGCGAACTGGGGGGGGCGGGGGGCTGGAGCGTTACTGGTTACGCGCATCGCTGGCATCGCCGCGTTATTTAGAAGGTTACTTAGTATTCGGTTGTAATAGGGTATTGATTGCCGCACATTTTATGTTTTGTTTTATTGTACGCTAACGATGGAGAGCGACAGTGATGAAAGTTTCGATGGGGTCGATTTCGAAGGTGTCGTCGATGAGAGTGGGTCAGGTACAAGTTTGGATGTTTCAACGACGAGTTCTGATTCTAGTAACTCTGAAAATGTGTTGCTTGCGCGTAATTGGTGCGAGTTAGAGCCTGATTCCCCGGAACCACCAGCTTTTCCATTTTCTACCAGACCTAGTATTCATTTTCACTCGAATGATGAGGACAATTTACTGCAATTTTTTGAACAATTTTTTGATGCTGAGATAATCGATCACATTGTTACTGAAACCAATCGTTATACGATTCAAAAGAAATTCAAAAAATGGTTCCCAGTAACTGCTGGTGAAATGAGAGTATTTTTGGGGCTTATAATTCTTCAAAGTATTATAAAAAAACCTGAAATGAGGCAATATTGGTCTAAAAATCCTTTATTACTGACACCTTTTTTTGCAAAATGCCTGAGCAATAAAAGATTTGAAGCAATCAGGTTAAATCTACATTTTGCTGATAACGAAACCTTTGACGCTGAGCACCACCCAAACCCAAAGCTAAATAAGATATGGCCGATATACGACAAGTTAGTGAATAAATTTCGAGCTACAGTTACTCCAGAGAAACATGTGGCAATTGACGAAAGTCTCTTATTATACAAAGGTAGACTTGGCTGTATCCAATATATTGTTGGTTGTGGACTGTAACGATACCATGGGTGGAGTGGACCGAGTGGACCAGCACTTGGCTGACTATACCTTACCAAGAAAAAGAGATAAAAAGTATTATGAAAAAATATTTTTCCACCTTTTGGATTTAGCCCTATGGAACTCTTTTATAATATATGTAAAAACGGGCGGAACAAAATCAGCACTTGTATACCGATTGGAGCTTATAAAGCAAATAATGGAGAAATATCATCAAACTGAGTTTACTTCAAGAACAGGACGACCTTCAACCCACCTCACTCTGCTTCGTCTGACAGGACAGGACATTTTCCAGATCTTATTCCAGCTACTGAGAAAAAGACAAATCCAACCAGGCAATGTGGAATTTGCAGCAGGGCTTGAGATGAACGCGGAAAGAAGATTAGAAGAGAAACCAAATATTACTGTGCAGATTGCGAAGCCCCCTTGTGTGTGACTCCATGCTTTAGGATTTACCACACAGTTGCAAGTTAGAACAATGTTTTTTTTACTTACTTACATATAATTTTTAAGTTTTAGATGTGTTACCTTAGGTTTGTTCCTTAAATAAATATTTTTTGTTGTTGCCCGAGTTAACTCGGGTAAGCACATGTATAAAAATAAATGTAAGTTTTTTTACAAAAATTCAGGGTTTTATTTAATTTTTAACACTAGAAAATAAAATAACTTTCGATTTAGTTCAAAAGAAGAAAATAAAAAAAATAGATTTTTTTTAACAATTTTTGAAAAAAACTAGATCGTTAAGCGGTTAACTAACTATTATGGATATTCAGATTCATGATTCCGCCACAATATGATCTGTATAAATATTTTGGTGAACAAATCATAATCAACTGTGTCTACCCACACTCCGCCGATACACGACGCGAATCTCCCAGCGTTTGAGAAGCTTCATTCCATCCAGGGCCTTTGATTTCTTACCTTTTGTCTTTCACTCATACGCAATTGGTCTATCAAATGCTCAAGTTGATGATTCCATTATTACCAACGGCAGATAATGATATATCAATTTTCCTATTTTTAAATCTTCAGAACACACCACTTAAAAATACGAAATATACACAAACCTTAAAGTGTTTTGAAGGGTGCTCCATGTAAAATTTCTCTAAGAATTCTAGTTGCTACGCTCAAAACTCTTATTGTTATTGTAACCTGTTTATCGCATGTCCTTTCGGTAGACATTACCGTGTATGTTTAGCTTTTGCTTAGAGTGATCCATCAGACGGCGGTAAAGGACATCAAAAAAATAAACCGGCAATAAATTATACTCGATAAAAGAGGGACGCACTACCTAAAGACAGGTCACAGGACGACTTGTTTGTGCTCCCCTGATTACTCATTGCCGACGGTCGGTTTAATAACTGGTCAGTCAGATTCCCAAACAGAGATTGAGAGATGAATTTTTCTATGGTAGGTCAAATATATTTGGTATTCAATAGACAAGCCATACATTGAAATGATTATGGAGTATATATATATATATATATATATACAGGTATATATATATATCTATATTATATATCCAAGCAGTCGCGCAGGCAGAAGCCTAAATGCCGAAACACCGCGGCTGCTATGATGATCCCAAAGAAATTTTGTTAATACGATTTTTGAACTGACTAAGGTTAGTAGAACTGGGAAAAGCTTCCTCTTGTAGATTGTTCCACAGTCTCAAAACTCTCGAGACAAAGGAGCGGTCGTATTGCCCAGTTCTGGATGAAAGAAGCTCGACACGGTTAGGAAAGGATGGGACGTCAAAGTTAGGCGGGTCTATCTGGCAGGCACATCGCGCGGCGGCATCATGGAAGAGAGCTCCGAGGAGCAAAGCCCGTTGGTGTAGCGGCAGAAAAGAACTAGATCACCGAAGGCCCGCTGGTCCATAGTGTATAGTATAAAATATTAAAAACAAACAGTCAATTCCATACAATTAAAACAAAAATAATCTCCTTTAAAATACAAACAAGTAATAAATCAATTTAGAATTCTCAGAAAAAAAAACAGTTTCTGTATAAATCCATAAACAAAAATAACAAATAAACAAACACATTCTTATATAAATCTAATACGGGCCACGTAGCAGTCTGAAAAAATGACATATTGTTATTCAAAATAGATTTCCTGTATGCAGTGAAAATGTTTCTGTACTATACGAGTACACTGAAAAAAACCTCCGTCCTATTCTCCCAAGTTGGGAACATCATTTCAAAGCGAAGTCTGACTAACTTTTTAAAAAGCTTTGTGAAAACAGTTTAGCTACAGTTTGCTTGCAGTGACAAAAAGCACAACAGGAAAATGAACAAAGAATCAGGCCGAATTTTTTTCTTAGGATGCGATTGGAGGTAATAATAGCCAGCCTTCTAAATGCTAAATAAACTAAATGAGTCAAATAGAAAAATACGACTTCTTTTTTCTAGCTACTGTCAATCTCTTTGTGAGCCAAAAACACAAAATACAGCTTTTGTCTTTGAGGTGCCGCGCCGCCGACTGCATAAGCGTACCCGCTGGTTGTTCCACTTCCACATTCATAAGAAAAAATTACATGGATTACTCTTAATACCTATTGAAATTTAAAATACTACTACTTTTGTTTCTCAAATGTCTGCTAATATTTTATGATTAAAAACATGATAGTTTCTTTCATTAATGCATTAATTTGTAAATTGAATCGAGAAGGACTTATTCATTTCTTATTTACTTCGTCCCCGCCGCTGGCTGGGTGTAATCCCAATGATATTAGAAAGAAGCGCCGAACTCTTTGAGCTAGGCCCACAGACCCCCCACGCCTCTGTTCCTATTCTGGTATGGGCAGAGCGGCGTATTCAAGGGAGGGCTTTGGGGCTCCTCGGAGTCTACCCTCTCAAAGCGCAACAGCTCATTACGCTTGTTCTACATATTATACATGTAATACCTTCTGTGAAGTGTAGCTACCTAGACTAAGCGAGTCCCCCCCTCTGCTAGGCAGTTTTATATCTCCAAGACACTCCTCCCCACCCCGAGACGGAATTTTCGTGTCACTCTGGATCTTGAGCCTCCCCCCAGATCTTTTCCTGGATAACACCACTGGTTGAGCAATATCTCAATCTACAGGAAACAATATCGCGAAATCGACCACAACAGTGGCTCCTACAAATCATTTTTATGGGCACATTTCAAATTCCCGTCATCGGACTAAACAAGGAAGTCACAGATGAATAAAATTAACGAATCATAACTGATCATAATTGTTTGTATTAGCAATGGGAGGACTTCTGGAAAAGCAAAAATTCTATATATTTGGTTTCTGCCTAAAGGGGCTGAACCTACCAGTATGTCTACAAAGTAAGAAGCATGTAGACCAGAATGCAGTTTTGTATAGACACAGAAAGTGGTTAAACTACATACTGGTGAAATACTTTTCAGAGCTAATGAAATTAGTTGCAAGAAGGATAAATAGCCTGGGCTAATTTCGTAAACTAAACGTTTTTCATATTGATATTTTAGATGAGAATGTTCAGTTTCCAAACGTAACTATGTTCGGTAGCCTAGCACTTACGGCATGTCTATTCAATACCAAACATCCAACCTACCATATCTATTAATCAAACAACCTGCTTCTCCCTGAATATTGAAATTTGAAAGAAATATTTTGCTTTTCACAAGCCTGGAGATATATTACAAATAAAGATGTAATCTGCTTTGAAAATCACACCATATTGGGAATTTAATTAAGCCTACACCTGATCAACAGCAATAACCCACCGCCACTGGAGGCAACCAAGCCACGCGCCTCTATAGAATCCGGTACCTTTTATCTATAATTTATTGCTCGGACATTTTACCTTCCAGTATCAATCCTGCTTTTTAGACCGTCTTCGGTGCTAATATAACGTTGCAATTCGGTATTTTTGGAGGCCAGAAGATGCAAGAGGTATGTGCAAGTTGGATGGCTCATCTTTGTACATAGTATAATGTCGTAAGATATTTGGCTATAGGCCAGTGCATAATACGAGATCTGTAAATTAAGTAATCAGACTAGCAACGTAGCATTCGATCTGACAACATTGGGGCTCTGGACGTGGACGGGAGCCAGGTGAACATGTGGTCTGCCTTCGGCACAAGTTTAAACTGCACAAGTATCGGAGTTGCAGCACTGCTATGAGGAGTCGAAAAACCGTCTCCACTGCTGTGTCGCTTCAGAAGAATGTTATTTTGAGGGTAACAATAAAATTGTAAGTATATTTGAATAAAAAAACATAATTTACAGACCTTGTATATTTTCACTAGAGCTTTTTCGATTAGAAAATCCTTCACCTGCAGTCAAGCAAAATATGTTTTACTTAAACTTTTATAAACGTGATAAATTCCAGATATTTATGTAACTTTTGACTTGCATAAACACACTTTGTGTAAAGTACCAATAAACTATATACAGGGTGTTCCATAATTATTGCGACAAAATGATAGGGGTTGTAGAGGGCATCAAAATGAGCAATTTTGCCTTATAAACCCCTGTTCGGAAATATGCCGTTTGGGCTGCAGCAACAAAAAAAGATCAGTTTCTTGAAACAGCTTACCTACAGTAATTGCTCAAAGTGTCCTCCACCTTGCTCAATACACAGCTGTGCACGATTGTTCAATGATCGGCGAACTCTGTGGCATACCCCCGGTATATCCTAAACATGTGCGGACGCGGCCATCACTCTTCCCAGTAGCTCTTGTTGGTTGGGAACAGGAGTTTCGTACACTAAAGCTTTCAGATGGCTCCAGAGAAAATAATTCAGTGGGGTCAGGTCGGGCGACCGAGCAGGCCAAGGCACAGGGCCACCTCGGCCTATCCACCTATTTGGAAATTTGTCGTCCAAATACTGCCGCACTTGTAAAGAAAAGTGGGCTGGAGCGCCATCGTGTTGAAACCACATGTTGGCTCTTATGTTCAGTGGTACATTTTCTAATAGTTTCGGCAGCACATGCTGTAAGAATCGACCATAAGCATGCCCATCCAAACGTGGTGGAAACAAATATGGCCCGATGATATGCTCGTCCACAATACCGCACCAGATCTTAATTGAAAACTTATGTTGGTCTCTATGGATGGCTATGGCATGAGGGTTTTCTTCATCCCAAATGTGACTGTTACGGCTATTAAAATAACCGTCCTTTGTAAAACAGGACTCGTCAGTGAACAAAACGT